TTCTTGTAACTTTATTCTGCATAAAACATGTAACAGTCTCATTGATAACATTATTTAAGAGGGTGTGTTTAGGGGCGGAGTTAAGGCCGCGGGAGGGTAGGGGTTAGGTGGGCAACTGGTGGCTTGTAACTCTTAAGGCCTGGATAGTAGCTCAGGACTTGACATTTTGACCCCTGTACTAGGGTATTTGGAGTGTGGGAGAAAACCAGAATACATGGAGGTAAGCCACACAAGCACAGGAAGAACTCAAACTTATGAAGATAATACTCCAGCTGGGATTTGAACCAAGAACCCCAGGACTGCAAGACAGAAGTGCTAATGAATAAGGCAATGTGCTGCAACCTATCCCTTGTATAATTCATATATATATATATATATATATATATATATATATATATATTTTATTTTTTTCATATTAAGCAAAAAATATTATACAGAAGCCAGGCATCTCTACAATACCTCTGCTTTGCCACCATAAGCTTTCTCCTCCCAAGCACTCAGCAGCCAGTTGTATTTTTTGGTAATATATTAATTTTTTCAGCCAAATACAGACACAGCACATGCAGAAGGTAGTGCACTGACTGGCAACACCTTTATCTTATTTCTTCACTACTACAGGGGTAGCTTGCAGAGGTCTGGAGGGAGCAGCAATCTTAATCCATCTGGTGACCTTGCCCCACAGGCACAGGCCGCTGCTATACCCAGGGTGGGTGTACAGAGCTCTGCAATGTCCTAAAATCACCCCCATGCCCAGCATCTTAATTCAAGCTTTTTCCCATAGAACTATGCCTGTCTTCCACCAGCAAGTGGAACATAATGGGTCTGTGTCGCTGGACCATGCTATCAGTGGCATATTTCAGTAAGCATGGGCCGGGATGCTACAAATTCTGCATGGTATTCTGGGTCAATCTTATGGCAGCTGGGAAGGATGCATGTTAGGGTACACCACAGAAGCTGGTGGTCTTGCCATGTGCCTTGTGCAATGGTGACAGCGCAGTCACCTGTACCTTTTCCTGCTCAGTGATCTCCTCCTACTTTGTGGGGGGAGCCAGCAGTCTCCGGGGAAGAAAACACTTTTTCCCCTGTATTGATTATTATTATTTTTTATAAATATAGCACAGCTAAAAAAATGCATTAAAATAAATTAATGTATTTGTCCTTTGTTTGGAAACACCTCACATCCCTAGGATTTCAGAACATTGTCTGTACTTCTCAGCCTAAAACTGAAAGCTAACATTTAAATTGTTTTCTCTAAAAGCTAATAGTGGTCACCAGATTAGACAGGTGGCATGCAATGTCATTAAGTGGTCGAAGCTACGGCCAGATCCTTCGGCAGCTTTGTGAATAGACCCCTTAGTGAAAGCTACATACTTTGAACATAGCCATCATGAGGGTGTTAAATGGAAAAATAAACCCCTTAAGGTGAAAACACATTTTCATTGTAAGCGGTTATTTTTATAATAATAGTATTTTTTCACACTTTATTTTTTTTTTTTTTTACACTTTACAATATTTATTTTACACGTTTTTTTACACTTTTACTACTAGCTTGTCAATTATATCAAGCAGTCATTGTGAATGGATGTCACTATGACTGCTTGATAATTTAAATTAATACATTTTTGGTTATTGTTAGGCTGCTCCGAACTTAGGAACAGCCAATAATAACCTTAGTGACACTGAACCCAACATGCAGTAAAGCATGTCAGGTTCAGATGTCACCAAAGTTTTCTGATTGTCGTGGCTGCTTGCCACAACAATCAGACGCCTGAAACAGGCAGCTTTCAGCTTTTTCTGAATGTTTGTAAGCTGAAACATTTAGAAAAATGTCAGTAAAGATCAGGATCTGCTAATCCCCATCTGTACAGCTGCCTAACAGTCATAGGAAGTGCGGTTCACACCGCACTCCTATCTCTGTCAGACACTTAATCACTGAAAGCGAACGGGTGTCTGAAACTGCTTAATTCTTTCCGTAATGAATGCCTCGTTAGTGAGGCATCTATTAATGAATGGTAACCACTGATCTCAGTGGTTACTGACATTCGGTAGCTCTGGATAGCTGCTCATGTACAGTGTATGTGAGCAGTCATTTGGGCACTTAGTGACGGGGACGAACAGTGTATGTCTCCCCTCAC